AAAATTATTATCATGAAACCACTTTGCATATGTATTTTTAAATGGTTGTGTTTTCCTTATAAAATGTTTTAAAGTGTTTTTTTTTAAAGAAAAACCTGCAGATAACAGAATTTGAAGCCACTTTCAACACCATTGTCTGAGAATGTATTAAAGAAATTGGCTATAAAATGGGGGGAGAATAAAATTGCCATTACTAAAAAGATAATTCAAGGTATATAATTTTCTTTTTTAAAATTAATTAGCTTATTAATTTTTAGTTTTCAGCATTCACTTCCATAAGATATAAATTTTCTCTTCCTTCCTTCCCCCTTCTCAAGACAGCATGCAATCTGGTATAGGCTCTACATATACATTCATATTAAACATACTGAAAAAAATATTTATAATAAAAAAAACTCTATACCTCTGACAGCAAATTAATTCTGTTCTCTCTCTCTCTCTCTCTCTCTCTCTCTCTCTCTCTCTCTCTCTCTCTCTCTCTCTCTCTCTCTCTCTTTCTCTCTCTCTGTCTGTCTCTCTCTCTGTCTTTGTGTCTAACCCCCTCATAGAATGTAATCTACTTGAGGATAGGATTGGGCAGGAGAACCCTGCATTTTTTTTCTTTGTGTCTTTTTTTCTTTTTCACAGATATGTATTCCCAAACATTCCTTATTTATGTATTTTGCTAAACTTTTAAAATTTATAAGGGGTACCTACTCACTGAAGGTTAGTTAATCCCATTCCTTGTGGGTTATTTACTGCTGACTGGACTACAGAGAGAATGATCAAAAGGTAATAATGGAGAATAAGATAGAGTTAGCAAATGTAATGAAAGAACATTGGATTTTGAGTAGGGTGATCTCAATTTAAATCATGGTTTTGAATCTCGGTTACTCCAGATCTGAAGAGAACATGGCTGGCTTGGGTTCGTCCTCAAATGGAGGTTCAGATAGGAAATCACCAATCAGAGAAGAGGTTATAGGAGCTTAGGTGCTGCTGCCATGAGATGGCCCCTGGGAAAGGGGAGTCCAAGAACCTCTCTGAGCTTATTTATAGTCTACTTCAAGGAACTTACAGTTTCCTTGTGAGCATTAGATAGGATTATGTGTGATTTTTATATGTATGGGACAGTGCTTTAAAAAAGTATTAATTGCACAATTTCCAACAAACTTCCCTAGAGTGTGGAACCCAACATCAAGTTAGGTGGTTCGTTTCAGACTGATTGTGCTAGGCTGGCTCTGGCTTCATTGCTTCATCATTGATAGCATTCCCAATATCAGTAAATATTGTTTAAGAATAACTCCTAGGCCTGGTGCTCTTTCCACTACAGCACAATACATCCCCAATTTCCCCCATAACACTGAATATTTTTTAAAAGAAAATACAGTTCCCTAAGGAAAGAAGTTCACTGACAAATTGGAATTTGAGTAGAAGAAAGTTATAAGAATGGTTTGTGCTGGTAAATGTTTAACAGCTGGCTCTGTGGGGGATCAAATCACACACATTTAAGTTTAATCTCCATTATAAATGTTTTCCTCCATCACTTTCTTAGGTTTAGACAATCAACAAAGAAACAAATCAAACCCTGACATAGCACTTGACAATTTCTGAAGTATAAATGCTCATGATGAAAATTTAACAGCCAGCTCTCCCAAGAAGGTCAAGCTGGCTTCAGCATACCCCTGTTTAAAGACCATGTCACTGGAAGGATTGGCTGAAGAAATGGTGTTATAAAAACAAAAAACAAAACTTAAATGAGAACATGACACCTTCCTTGAAGGGTTTGTTGTGGGGAAGATGGTGAAGGTGAATAAACATTTGTACAGTAAATGGTCCAGGTATCGTGCTAAGTGTCTTACAAATGTTATCTCATTTGATCCTCACAACAGCTCAACAAAGGAGATGCTGTTTTTGTAAAATATTCTATTTTCCCAAGTACATGTAAAAACAAATTTTAACATTCATTGTTAGAATTTTTGAGTTCCAAATTCTCACCCACCCTGCCCTCCCTCCTTCCTGAGGTGGTAATCATTTGATATAGGTTATACATGTGGAATCATGCAATATATATTTCCATATTAGCTATGTTGTGAAAAAAAAAGATAGACCCAAAAAAATCTCCACAAAAAATAAAGTAAAAAATGCTATGTTTTGATCTCCATTCAGACCATAGGTACTGTTATTTTCTGCATTTTACAGTTGAGGAAATCAAGTCAGACAGAGGTTAAATGCCCAGGGTCACACAGCTAGGAAGCATCTGAGGCTGGATTTGATCTTTGATCCACTGTGGCTTCTAGCTGGAATTAGATTTGTTCTTCCCTAGAGGATGGAATGAGGGGCAGTGAGTGAAAGTTTTTCTAAGAGGGAGATTTAAGCAAATTTTTTAAAAAACAATTTCCAAACAACTAGATCTGACCACAAATGGATTGTGCTGCTCAAGGAGACTGTGTGGTGCCCCTCACTAGAGGTCTTCAAGTGAAAGCTAGATAACCAATCATCATCAGGAGGCTGTAGGGAGGGGATTCCTATTCAGGCCAGTGTAAACCACATGACTGTGAGGTTCCTTCTAATACTGAGCTTCTGTGAGTCTGTGGAGCAACATGACTTTGGACTGATAAAGACATCCATACTTATCACTGCTGCAAATGATTGTCTGCTCCACACCCGACTGGAGTATCTCTGTAGCACCTTGCCATTCAGGAGAGCTGTCTCTGAGATCAGGAAGCCCTAAGTTTTAATCCTGCCTCAGACACATACTAGCTGTGTGTCCCTGAGCAGCTCACTTAACCTTTCAGTCTCGACTTCCTCATCAGTAAAATCCAAATAATAATATCATCTACCTCATAGGGTTGTTGTGAGGACCAAATGAGGTAACCTACATTCTAAAGCTCTATGTAAATACTGCTATTATTACTATCCTCAACAAGTAGTTTTTATACCTTCACTTGAAGAGCTCCATTAATGGGGGGCTCACAACTTTGTAAGAAAGCTAATTCTACTTTTGGACAGCTCTAATTGTGATTTAGTTCAATTAAATACATTTGTTGTCGTTCAGTAGTTACAGTCACACCCCATTTGGGGTTTTCTTGGCAAAGATACTGGAGTGGTTTGCCATTTCCTTCTCCAGCTCATTTTACAGATGAAGAACTGAGGTTGAAAGGGGTAAGTGACTTACCCAGAGTCATACAGCCAGTAAGTGTCTGAGGCTGGATTTGAACTCAGGAAGATGAGTCTTCCTGATTCCCAGCCCAGTGAACTATCCACTGTGCCACCTAGCTGCCAATAGCTAAACAAATATTCTTGAAAGTCTTTCTTTACATGGAATTGAAAGCTGTCTTTCCCCAACTTTCATTTATTGCCTTTAGCTCTGACCTCTGGGACTGAAAAGGATAAATCAAAATACTCTTTCACATGATAACCCTTCAGTGTACAGAGAGCAAAGCGTAGAACTTTACATTTTCCCCCTATTAATTCACTATGGTGCAAGATCGTGTATGCGGAAAATGGGGAGGGGATGTATGTGTGATTTTACAGTTCAGTTGCTGAACTGAAAATTATAGACACTTTGATATTCCATTTGAGAAGACTGGAACATGGTACATGATGGCAGGGCATCAGTTGGGCTTCCTTTAATAACAATCTAGAGAACAGCATGCAATGTGCATTGTCTAATCCATCATCACCCACCCAGGGTGTTGCTCATGTGCACTGTGAAATGGCTATGCTAAACTCATGTGCAGACCACGACCTTTCTTGTCTTATTTCCTTGGCCTTGGTTCTGTGATTCCCAGGCAAGTGCTTTCCAACATTCTGGAGACGAAGCAAGATGTGCAAATGCACACTTAGTGAAAAGATTTGACATGGCACAGAAAAAAAGCATATGTTGCAGCAGCAGCTGTGATATTTTGCTAGCCTTCCTCACAGAAAGTTACAACTGGTGGTGTGTTGTAGACCGTGTGACATGGCTCTCTCAGAATGCATATCAGATGAGCTTATTTAAATGAGTGAATTCTTGTGCCCATCAGCTTCCTGGGAATTGTGGAAAGTCCTGCAGTTATTTGAGGAGCAGTGAAGAGTTAGAGAAAAGAGAAAGTTGTCAACTATGGCCGCACCACCCTAAGTTAAAAACGTTATGGATTGGAGTGACTCAGCTTCTTTTGGCTTCCATTTCTCATCTCTAAAATGATGGGGTTAAACCATGTGAAAAACACTTTAATAAGATAACTGCACATTGAAACAACTGAAGTTTCATCTCACACCCCTCAACTTGGCAAAATTCTAAAAGAGGAAAACGATCAATGCTGGAGAGGCTGTGGGACAACCACTTTGACACATTTTTGCTGGAACTGTTGAAGAACCCAATAATTTTGGAAAATAATTAGGAACTACGTGAGAAAAAAATCCTAAATTGTTAATTCCCTTCATTCCAAAGATCTTAAGGAGCTCAAAGGCAGAAAGATAGGTTCCATACATATATTAGTAGCAGGAAACAAATTGTGATGCATGAATGTAACTGAATACTGTGATGAAAACGAAGAGTACAAAGCAGCATGGCAATCATGATGTGATCCGCAGCAATGTAATTAGAAACGATAAAAATACATTGAAACAGAATGCTTTTTCCTCTCCTTCCTTTCCTTTCTCTTCCTTCCTTTCCCTTTTCATGTCCTCCCTTCCCTTCCTCTCTCCTCCTTTCTCTTATCTTCCCTTCCCTTCATCAGTTAATCATTTTATTTTATTTTTAGGCAATTAGGGTTAAGTGACTTGCCCAGGGTCACACAGCTAGTAAGTGTCAAGTGTTTGGTCTGAGGCTGGATTTGAATTCAGGTCCTCCTGACTTCAGGGCTGGTGCTCCTTCTACTGCGCCACCTAGCTGCCCCCATCAGTTAATCATATACTCTTGACCCCAGTAAATTGCATCCCTCCCTCTCCCACTATTATTTTTATCATTTATTTATTTATTTTGACCACAGTCATTGGAAGTATCGAGCTAACCGTATCTCATTTCTCTTCCCTGTTAGGGATTCCACTCAAGAACAAGTGATCAAAAAACAGGAAGCAGAAAGTAATTGTTCTGGATAATCCATAAACTGGGCAATATACCTTTGATTAAAGGAGAATTGACTATGAATCTGAGATTACTGGCAAAACGTCATCTACTAATCTGTTTTCAAAGGGAGCAAAAATACTTTGTACTATATGTTAGAAGTAGTTTTTTCTTTGTTTTTCAGTTTTCCTATTCAAATCATCATGTCAGTGTTTATTTTTCTATGACGGTGAAATTTTGGATGAAACAAGGTCAAAAGGGGAAAACACCAAGAAGCTGATATGGACTGTTATTTCCTTCCTGTCTTTTGCTCGGTCTCAACCACAACGTACAACCTCCAAGCATTAAATAAGTTGGTGACATAGCAACACCTGACATTGTCTTCACCTTTTGTCTTGTGCAAAACTTGCTGGATATTCTCCCGAGTTGGCTGTAAATGGAACCTTCTTGTCCTTCCCCTCCCTTCCCATCAACCTACCCCCTGATTCCCAGCCCTAAGTGTTATATCACAAGAAGTATGGTTTTGTTCCCAACCTTTCCCTAGCAAAGCATTACTTATCATTACTTAGCATTGCTCAGAGCACTGCTTACTTCTGCCTGTGTTCCTGTGAACCCTGCCCCAGAGAGTAGGGGAGTACAGAGAAAATGGGGATAGTAGACTTTGTGAACCTGAGCAAGTCACTTCCTCTCTTTGGACCTCAGTTTATTTTTTTTTGTAAAATGAGTTGCACTGGATGACCTTCAAGGTCTCTTCTGATATTATGTGTTCTGTGAGTTTCATATGGACAAGAATATTAATAGCAACATTAACTGTTGTTAGAAAAAACTGGAAACAAAATAAGTGCCCTTCAATTGAGGTATGGCAGAACAAATTGTGGTATATGAATGTAATGGGACTTTTAGTCTGCCATAAAAATGATGAATATGACAAATACAGAGAAACAGGGAAAGACTTCTGTGAACTGATGCTGAGTAAAATGAGCAGAGCAAGGAGAACGATTTCTGGGATGACCAAAATAATAACGTGAGGGGAAAACAACACTGAAGGTCCTCAGAACTGAGACCCAAGCACTGACCAATCATTACTTCACAAGACTGATGATGAAGCAGACCTCCTCCCTGTTAGCAGAGAGGACAGGGACCAAGCAGGGCTTGGCAGATTGCCAACTGTGGCCCACCTCTGGCAAGCTAAGACAGCATTTTACAATTTAAAATAAAGCTTCTATCTGAATAAAGTTTATATTTAGTATTACATTCATATTTAAATTTATAATTGATATTATATTTGTTTTTTACACTAGTATATGCTATTTACATATTATAATATGTAATATATATCGGTATGTATTATTTACATAATATGTTATATTTAAGTATTTATATTCAAGCTTATAAATACATTAATATTTAGTATTTATCAATCTGCATTCTTAGCTTGCAGGCTATATAAAAACAGGTAGTGGACTGGAGAAGAAGTCTAATCTGAAATGAACAGAATCAGATGCGCATTCCAAAATAGGGGCAATCTGTTAATTTTCTTTTTCTGTACATATCTATTCTAAGGAAGGGCTTCTCTTGGGGGGCTCACAGTGGGCAGAAAGGTGTTTTAGTGGTTAGTGATAAACATGAAAAAGGCATAACAAAACAGTACAAATGTGTAATCCCTGCCACTGAGGAGTCCAAGGCTGGTAGATGAGCTCAGGAGTTCTGAGCTTTGGTAGGGCTAAAGCCAATTGTGTGTCCACACTAAATCTGATGGGGGTGGTGGTGTACATCTGGCTATTTAAGGAGGAGCAAGCTGAGTAGGGGGTACTGGTCTAGAATTATATCTATGAAACTATGAGGGATTACTCAAGAGAGACAAGTCATAGAGGAAAGTTGTGACAAAAGGTGATTCATTGGAAAAGGAAATGGCAAACCACTCCAGTATCTTTGCTAATAAGATCTCATGGGCAGTATTAAAATGATGTAACACTGGAAGATGAGCTCTCAGATCAGAGGGTGTCCAACACACCACTGGGGAAGAGCAGAGGACAACTCTAAGTGGCTCTAGAAAGAATGAAGTGGCTGGGCCAAAGCCAGGAGGAAGTTCAGCTCTGGATATATCTGATGATGAAAGAAAATTTATAGTCAATAAAACAGTGAGAAAGGCAATACTGGGGAATAATCTCAAAAATTACAAAATGATTTCTTTTTGAATCCAAAGCAAACCGTTCAACATCACGGTAATATAAATCCATTCATACTGAAGAGGCCAAAGTTGATCATCTCTATGAAGACTTGTGATAACTTTCAGAAGTAATACCAAAAAAAGATGTCACATTCATCATAGGGGTTTGGAATGCCAAGATAGGAAAGCAAAAGATAATTGGAATGACAGGCACTTTTGGCCTTGGAATACAAAATGAAACAGGGCATAAGCTAATAGATTTTTGTCAAGATAATTCCCTAGTCATAGCAAACACTCTTTTTCAACAACCCAAAAGGCAGCTCCACACATGTACATCACCACATGGTCAATATGAAAAGCAGATTGATGATATACTTTGCAGCCAAAGATAGAAAAATGATGTAGCTCAGATCATGAGTTTCTCATTGCAAAATTCATACTTAAATGAAAGAAAGTAGGGAAAATTATCAAACCATATAAGTGTGACCTAAATAACTTCCTTAATGAATGTGAAGTAGAATTGATGAACAAATTTCAGGGATTAGGTTTGGTACATAGCATGCCTGAAAAACTATGGACAGAGATTCACAATATTGTATGGGAGACAGCAACAAAAAATATTCCAAAGAGAGAGAAGAGCAAGAAAGCAAAATGGCTGTCTGATGAGGCTTTATAAATAGCTAAGAAAAGAAAGAACATAAAAAGTAAAGGATAAAGGAAAGATATATCCAACTGAATGCAGAATTCCAGAAAATAGCAAGGAAAAATTAGATTTCCTTAAATGAACAATGCAGAGAAATTTAAAAAAGCAATAGAATGGGAAAGATAAGAGATCTCTTCAAGAAAATTAGAGCTATCAAAAGAATATTTCATGCAAAAGTGGGCATGATGAAAGATTAAAGAATGGTAGGAACCTAAGAGAAGTAAAAAGAAATTAAGAAGAAGTGGCAAGAAAATATAGAACTATACAAAAAAGATCTTGTCACTGATAATGATGATGTTGTAGTTATTGATCTAGAGCTATGCATTCTGGACAATGATGTCAAATGGGTCTTAGGAAGTGTTGCTAACAATAAGACTAGTGGACGTGATGGAATTCTAGCTGAGCCATTTAGAATCCTAAAAGATGATGCTGTTAAAGTGATACATTCAATATACCAGCAAATTTGGAAAACTCAACAGTGGCCATGGAAAAAAATCAATTTATGTCCCAATCCTAAAGAAGTCCAATGCCAAAGAATGTCCAAACTACCAAACAATTGCTTTCATTTCAGACACCAGCAAAATTATGCTTGAGATTCTGCAAGCTAGGCTTCAGTAGCATCTGAACCATGAATCACCAGATGAGTAGGCTGATTTTCGAAGAGGCAGAGGAACTAGAGACCAAATTGCCAACATTCACTGCATTATGGAGAAAGCAAGAGAGCTTCAGAAAAAAAAATCAATTTCTGTTTCATTGACTACACTAAAGCCTTTGACTGTGGGCATCACAACAAAATGTGGCAAGTCCTTAAAGAGATGGGAATACCAGATCATCTTACTTATCTCCTGAAGAATCTGTGTGCAACAGTTAGAACTGAACATGGAACAACTGATTGATTTGAGATTGGAAAAGGGGTATGACAAGGTTGTACACTATTTCTTATTTATTCAACTTATTTGAAGAACGCATCATGTGAAATGCCAGGCTGGATGAATCAAAAACCAGAATTAAGATTGCCAGGAGAAATATGAACAGTCTCAGATATGCAGACAAAACTACTCTGAAGGCAGAAAGTGAAGAGGTATTAAGAAGCCTCTTGATGAAGGGAAAAGAGGATAGCGTAAAAGCTGGCTTGAAGCTTAACATAAAAAAAAAAAACGAATGAAAATCATGGCAACTGGTCCCACCACTTCCTGACAAATAGAAGGAGAAGACATGGAAGCAGTGTCAGATTTTATATTCTTGGGCTCAAAGATCACTGCAGATGGCGACTACAGTCATGAAATTAAAAGACGCTTCTTGCAAGGAAAGCTATTGACTAATCTGAACAGCACACTACAATAAAAAGCAAAGACATTTCTTAGCTGACAATGGTCTGTGTAGCCAAAGCTATGGTTTTTCCAGGAATAGTGTATGGCTGTGACAGTTGGATTGTAAAGAAAACTGAGCGTTGCAGAACCAATGCTTTTGAATTGTGGTGCTGGAGAAGACTTTTGGACAGCAAGGAGATAAAATCAGTCAATACTTAAAGAAATTAATTTAAATTATTCATTGGATGGGGCAGCTAGGTGGCTCAGTGGATAAAGCTCCGGCCTTGGAGTCAGGAGGACCTGAGTTCAAATCTGGTCTCAGACACACGACACTTACTAGCTGTGTGACCCTGGGGAAGTCACTTAACCCGGATTGCCTCACCAAAAAAAAAAATTTGCAAATTATTCATTGGAAGAACAAATACTGAAGCTGAAGCTTAAATACTTTGGTCGCATAATAAGATGACAGGACTGATTGAAAAAGACCCTGATGTCGGGAAAGATTGAAGGCAAAAGGAGAATGGGATGGCAGAGGATGAGATGGATAGATGGTATCATGGAAGCAATGACCATGAGCTTGGATAGAGTGGAGGATAGAACTCCTGCCATGCGATGGTCCATTGGGTCATGAAGAGTGGGACACAGCTGAAAGACTGAACAGCAGCAAAAATATTATTAGTCTAAGGATGAGAGTTTTCAGGTTCAAGCTAAACTTCTGATTGCTATTGATTAATGGGGAAAGGAAGATCCCAAGCTTTATATACAAGGCTTGACTTCCTTCCTGCCAAATACTTACTATGTATGCTACTTACTCCGTAAGTAGCAAAGAAACCCGAGATGTTAGCAGAACAGAATCAGAGAAGGTATACATTGGAGAATATATACCCGATGAGACACAGAGCAGGAGCTCTCCCATTGGGAAGAAGTAACAGCTCAAGTAAGAGAGTCCTAGATCTCACCCAAGGGAAAATTCCCTGAAGTCTCCTCTCATGTCAGCTTTAACCTAGAATCTTTTCTCTCTTTGGTAAACTGCAGTGGGGTTGGCATCATTCATC